TATTAATATTTCATCAGTATGTATTTTGTATCTAAATATAATTTCCAAACACACGATTTCCAAAAAAAAAAAAAAATACTGAGCAAAGCTCGGTCATCTAGATACTTTTACTATTATATGACCGTTTGATTACCTATAAGGGTACATTTTTGAGTTTTAATTTCAATGGATCTTTCTAATTAATGTCCACATTAGAGAGCCTGTTGTATTTTATTAGAATCTGGAGGCACAAATTAGGATTGTTTTAATTGGTAGCTTTAAAAATTAACTATTTTAATTTGTTATAAAATACGTAAAACGGAACACTTTACTGTGTTGTGTAAAAGTCAGACGATACAGATTTTACGCAATCAATTTGTGTTCTTTCTTTTTATATCTAAACTTCCTATAATTGATTGTGATTCCTTATAACTTGAAAATAGAATTTTTTTTGTCTTTTTAATTTGTATTAATTACATTTATTGCCGTGTAGTGGCGGTTGAGAATATCCACTACCCCATATCTTCCCGTGGGTGTCGTAAGAGGCGACAGAGGGAGACAGGCAGGAGATGGGCAGCAGCATCTTCCTAATAACAACAATAACATAATAAAAAACTGCGGTTGCCAACCCGCTCGCCAAGCGTGGCAACTATGGCAAATATCCCCCCATGAGCAACGACACAAATAAACGGCCCCCAGTCCCCGGCGGCCCCGCTATTCCTGGCTACGGTGGCGACCATGGTAACGGCGGGGCAGGGGGTGCTAAGAATTTCCGGTGGAGGTTCGGTTGCCACCTACGACGACTCGACCTGGAAACGTATAACGCACGCACCCTGAGGGCTGATGAGAAGATACTGGAGCTGGAAGAAGAGGTAGACAAGTTGCGCTGGCATATTATTGGATTATCTGAGGTCCGGAGAGACGGGGAGGACACGGTAATCCTCGAGTCTGGCAACTTGTTCTATCACCGGGAAGGCGACCATCTGTCCCAAGGAGGTGTCGGATTTATCGTCCACAAGTCTCTCGTCAACAACGTTGTAAAGATTGGGAGTGTGTCGACGAGGGTCGCGTACCTGATACTCAGAATCACCAAATGGTATTCGCTGAAGGTCATACAGGTCTACGCACCAACCTCGGCACATCCCGATGAGGAGGTGGAGGAAATGTATGAGGATATCTCTAGAGCTATGCATTCCTCCAAAACCCACTACACGGTGTTGATGGGAGACTTCAATGCAAAACTAGGCACAAGAGAAGGCGGTGAGCTGAAGTTAGGGAAATTTGGAGTAGGGCAACGGAACCGTAGGGGCCAGCAGCTGGCTGACTTTATGGAGAAAGAGGGACTCTTTATGATGAACTCTTTCTTCCAGAAGCGGCCCCACAGGAAGTGGACCTGGTCGACCCCGACGGTTCGACAAAAAATGAGATTGACTTCATTATAACGACCAGACGCTAACTGTTCAGTGATGTCTCAGTGATCGCAAGGGTGTAAACCAGCAGCGATCACTGAATGGTTAGAGGCACACTGAACCTAAACGTTAAGTTGGAGAGGTCTCGTCTAATGAAGTCAACGCTCCGTCCCCCTCGTGCTCTAATCCAGAATCCCAAGACATTTTCAGCTCGAGTTACGTAACCGCTTTCAGTGCCTAAAAGATTGCAATGCAGTGGACGATATGAATGACAAGCTCGTGGAAACTGTCCATGCGGTCGGAGCTAAGTTCTGCAAGACTCGCCGCAGAAGAACACAAAAACTCTCCGATCACACTCTTAATCTCATGGCTGTTAGACGGGAGATGAGGCTGCAATCGTCAACAGATTTGACAGCATACAGGCAACTGAACAGACAGATCTCCAAATGCATGCGGCAAGACATACGCAACTTTAATACAGCTCGTATTAAAGAAGCGATCGAGCGGAACCAGGGCTTCAAAGTCTTTGCCAGAGATGTGTCTGCCAGAAAGAGCCAACTGTCAAAGCTGAAGACTGAGTGTTGCAGCATCGTTTCCGGGACACCTAAGATTTTGAGTGAGATTGAGAGGTTCTATGGGCAGCTGTACACATCATCGTTGGAGCCACACGCAAGTGTGAGTAACGATAAAAGAGCAACTCTTACCCGACACTATTCCGATGATATCCCGGACGTCAGTCTGAGCGAGATTAGAATGGCTCTCCAGCACCTTAAAACGGCAGGGCCCCAGGCGAGGTTGGAATTACAGCGGAGCTTCTGAAAGCGGGTGGAACACCGGTACTTGAAGTCCTTCAGAAGCTCTTCAATTCCGTCCTTCATGGTGGCACTACTCCGGAGGCATGGAGCAGAAGTGCGGTGGTCTTATTCTTTAAGAAACCCGACAACGCTCCCTTGAAGAACTACAGACCGATTTCCCTTCTGAGCCGCGTCTACGTGCTGTTTTCGAGAGTCATTACGAATCGTCTCGCACGCAGACTCGACGACTTCCAGCCTCCTGAACAAGCCGGTTTCCGAAAAGGCTTCAGTACCATAGACCACATATATACCCTGCGGCAGATTGTACAGAAGACCGAAGAGTACAATCTGCCACTTTGCCTGGCGTATGTGGACTGTGAGAAAGCCTTTAATTCCGTCGAAATTTGGGCGGTGCTACAGTCCCTCCAGCGGTGCCAAGTTGACTGTCGGTATATCGAGGTGCTGAACTGTTTGTACAGTAGGGCTACGATGGCTATCCGAGTACAGAACCAGAGTTCGAAACCTATCCAACTGCAGAGAGGTGTAAGACAGGGTGACGTTATATCCCCGAAACTCTTCACCGCTGCGTTGGAAGACGTTTTCAAGCTACTGGACTGGAAAAGATACGGTATTAACATCAATGGCGAGTACATCACTCACCTTCGATTTGCCGACGATATAGTCCTTATGGCAGAATCGCTGGAGGACCTTAGCACTATGCTCAATGACCTCAATGGTGTCTCCCAACGGATAGGTCTTAAGATGAACATGGACAAAACAAAGATTATGTTCAATGTCCATGTCACACCTATGCCGGTAGTTGTGGGGAGCAGTATGCTCGAAGTTGTTGACGAGTACGTTTACCTGGAACAAATAGTCCGACTAGGTAAGTCAAACTTCGACCGAGAGGTCAATCGACGGATTCAACTCGGCTGGGCAGCGTTCGGGAAATTACGACACATCTTCTCGTCAGGTATACCTCAATCTCTGAAAACTAAAGTGTACAACCATTGCGTGTTGCCAGTGATGAATTACGGATCAGAGACATGGTCCTTCACTGCTGGCCGTATGAGGACGCTCAAGGTCGCTTAGCGAGATATGGAGAGGGCTATGCTCGGAGTTTCTCTGCGTGATAGACTCAGAAATATCCGCAGTAAAACCAGAGTGACCGACATAGCCCAACGGATTAGTAAGCTGAAGTGGCAATGGGCCGGCCATATAGCTCGAAGAACCGATAACCGATGGGGAAGAAAGTTTCTCGAGTGGCAGCCTCGTACCGGTAGGCGTAGTGTAGGGCGACCCCCCACTAGATGGAGTGACGACCTGGTAAGACATGCAGGAAGTCGATGGATGCAGGTGGCTCAGGACCGTGCTTTGTGGCATTACTTGGGGGAGGCCTATGTTCAGCAGTGGACTTGTGAAGGGCTGTAATGATGATGATGATGATATTTATTTCCAAGTTACAGGCTGTATACGTTCCACTGCTGGGCACTGGCCTCCTCTCATTTCTGAGAGGGTTTTAGGGCAAGGAAATGTCCGCCACGCTGCCCCAATGCGTGTTGGCGAAGTTCACGTCTTCGAAATATATTAATTTTTCTTAGTTCTTAGAAATGTAGGTTGCCTTATGATGTTTTCCTTTACCGTAAAACCGTACAACTTTGCCCAAATTTCTTGCGATTTTTTATTCTACTTTAAATATTTTTTAAAATAATATTATTTTCAATTTGTAATTGCGCTACACCATTGATAAATGTATTTTTCTTTGCATAGAACTTATGATAATATCAAGACAATTAATGTTTATGTGTTAAAAACCTTAATTTGGACGGCGGGCCAAATATATAGTACTTTTTACAAGTTTGCCCATTTTGCAGAAACCTCCGTAACTTCGTTATTTTTTACTTTAAAACGTTAGATTTAAGGGTCATTTTAGTAAAATAATCAATCTATCATAGGACTTTAATACTAAACGTTAAAAGTTCATTTTAGCTGTAAAATTTGAGTGGGCAAAGTCGCAACAATTTTTCATTCAAATGAAAGATTGAACTAGGGTTGTCACTTTTTTATTGATAAAAGTACGGTGTACGTAGATACGTTACGATCACGTAGCTTGCTCTTAAACATTAATATAAAAATATTGAAACAATCATAGAATTAGAAGTATTTTACAGCAAATGCTTACTAGCTTTAAAACAAACAATACCTATAGGTAATATTAAGCTCAATATCAACTCTTAAAATTGACTCAATAAATCATATTGAAGATACAAATTTCTAAAACAAACAATAAATAATATAGATTAAATACCTCTTATCAAAAAAATAAAATTTAGTTATCAAAATTAAATTAAATATAACAATTTAACTTTTATGTTATACTACAGAAGTGATAAAACAGAGACCTGTACTATACCTGTGATGGACGATAAACTAAGTGAACTATGTTTTCAATTACTTATATATTAACTTAAATCTATATATAGTAAAGTCACATTATATTTTTATGGCAGTAACAAGTAACATCAACAATGCAAAGTAAAACGACTAATAAAACAAATTAGTAAAAATCAACAATAATCATCGAGGTGCTTCTTGAGGTTAATTATTCTTAAACAACATAGGAACATTTTTTGTGAAATTACCTTATTGCTAGAAGATTTCGAGAAGAGCTTTACATATTGGCAATTCCTGTAAATAAATTAAAATATTTTATTATTGTATGTTTTAGGAAGCATTAAAGGTAATATCAAAGAATATTTAGCCTCGTCTAAAAATACTTGGTGGAAGTAATTCTATTTCCACGTCATCACGATTCACTTCACACACGTCCTCCACATTCGGATACGTAAAAATCACTTTGCCATCTTTTGCATTTTTCACTTTTCTTGCAAATTTTACAGTAGGAGTACTGTTTTTTATATATAAAAGACAGCCAACAAACTGCTTTATGCTTTTTTGTCGCAAATTTTACAACTACCCAGTCCTCTTCTCTTAAATCTACATCGCTTGTAAAATAGGTGATATCACTGAATCCAAAGGGTGCAGTGAAGTTTTCTGGCTCACAGTTTTCCTTGTTGTCTATCTCTTGTAAACATGTTGATACATATTCATCAAATGTCTCATATTCCGAATCATCTGTATTTGCAATACTCATAATATCCGATTCAGAACTCGTTTCACAATAATATGATCTCAATTTCTTCCGTTTCGCTATCTTTGTTTTTCGTCCCTTAGTTACATTTTCCTGTTTTCTTTTATTTTTTTCATATAAGACCACATTACTATTTTCATCGCCCACTTTTTTCGTAAGAATTTTTATCTGTAAAGCTGATTTTCCGATGACTTCAGTACCTAATTTTATTTTTTTCTTAATGTCCTTCATTTGCTTAGGGGTTACTTTAACATCTGAGGTTATTATAACTTTAGATTTAGATGAACTATTCGTTATTGATCGTAAACACTCTGGAATATCATTTTCATCATAAGCTACAAAAGGCTGATTCTGGCTGTCATTTATCAATTTTTTATTTAATACACAGACATCGGATAGCTGAGCATTAGTATTGTTGCGCGAATAAGTCGACGTCATGTATCCGGCACTAGCGCCATCTAGTGTGTAGGGACGAGAGCGAGGGGAGCTTTCCAGAAAATGATATCACTAATCTTTCAACCGACAACGCCATCTAGTCTCGGAACGAAGAATTAAGCTTCTAGAAGACGACACTCGAACTCTCGGCCCCTTGCGCGTGTTTACTTGAATATTCTGGATGTTTCGGTGCTAATTTGTATTTATAGGCGCTGCAAGATGCGCTCGGGGAAGTATTGAATTTGGCGAGACAAGCGAAGCTTCGGAGCGAAATAAAATGAATCAGTATGATTAATTATTAGTGTTTTAAGTTTTAATTGGTGTAAAGAAAATTAAAGTGTTAATTTAGGTAATTCTATCGGCAATTTTTATTGTCACGAACCTTAAGCTCGTAACAGTATCATGCGCTGGTGAACCTAAATGAATGTTGATATTTTTGATGTGCACACTGTTTGACTAAGTGCATCAAGTGTGGCTGGATTATAGATCACCGGTGAAAATTGGGGTCGTGGTGCTGGTTTTTCCCAAGTGATGATTTCTGAGGTCGCCGGCATATCGTATTTAATCGTTTCCTCCCTTCTTATCACTTTACCTGTAATTTCATCTAAGTATATCTCATTTTCTGTATCCCACGATGCTATAATACCTTCTGTCTCTCTTTCTTGGTTGATCTTTATTGTATCTTCCTTAGTATTTTTTCTTACAGATGATTTTTTCGTGCTGTTAGTAGAATGTTTACTGTCGAGATATCATTAGCACATACCGACTTTCCGGGTTCTGTGCGTAATTTCTTATTTCTTTTCACTAGCATTGGCTTAGCAGCCTTCCTATTACTTGAGATAATTCAAGAAAGTCGTATCAAATCCATATTCTGAATCCTCGAAATACTCTGGGATTCTCTTAAAAACATTTCGTGGATTTACAGGCCATATTCCTGTGGCTCTGAAGCCACTTATTATGTTATGGCTTTCCTTATGTTTCATATTTTTTAGTAATTGAGCCAAAAGTTTTGGAAAGTGTTTTTTGTTCAATGTGGTTTGTCCAGGATTCTTCCATTTGTATTCCAACAAGATTTTTTTCCACTCTCTTTTTAGTGGGCCAAAGTATGCTACATCCAGCGGTTGTGTTAGGTGAGTGGAGTTTGGTGGTAAAAATACCAACCTTATATTATGTTTTTGACACAATTCTACTACTTCAATATTTATGTGGGAAGACAAATTATCACCAATGACTACTTTTGGCCCGGAACTTTGTCTCGCCCAGTCAACCACTATAGTATTGAAATAATCTTCGAATGAAGACGTGTCAAACCAACTGGATTTCGAACAATTATATCTGGTTCCAGTTGGTCCTCCTTCAAGCCACTCTGAATATAAATTTGAAGCTTTATAAACCACACATTGGTATACATGTCCCAGCTGCACACGCAGTAAACATAATAGAAATGCAACTTTTTGTGTTATTTAAAATCCTTTCAGGATGTTTGACGTCCCTTCTGAATACACATTTTGATGTACCTGGATTGTCGGACAAGTTAGTCTCGTCGTAGTTTAGTATATTCATCGGTGGTACACCATTTAGCGTTTCACGTAAATTGGTATAAAATTGCTCCATTTCTTCCAATCCTATCTCGGCCCGTACTTTTTTTATATTTTGGGTTGTTCTAATGGTGAAAATTTCAACGAGATCAGTGTACAAAAATACAAAGAAATCAACAAACATACAAAAAAAACTGAACTTAGTCAACCTAATTATTTTGCAAATAGGTACATTCAATACTTTTTACAACAACGTTTGCTTTTTTATTATATGTATTGATTATTGTAATCCTTTGTATATCCTCTCATTCTGTCAACATTACTTAGATAGTTTCGTAATGAATGTAATTTAACATTGAGGTGACAACCCTATCGGTAATATTTTGGTGGGCAAAGTCGTAATGACTTTAGAATAACGAGCACCGATATTTTCAACTTTAAGATTCTATTTCTATTTCCTATTATTAATATTAAGTAAGCATGCAATGTAATATGAAAGTATTTACCAACCAGCGATTCTGCCATAATGACAATGTCACCGGCAAATCAAAGACGGTTTGATATTGATGTTGACATCGTATCATTTTTAGTCTAGTAGCTAGAAAAAGTCTTCCAATGCAGTGGTGAAGAGTTTTTATGGATATAACGACACTCGGTATTACATCTTCTGCAGTTGTACAGGTTTCGTACTCTGGTTCAGTATTCACATCGTTATCGTAGACCTACTGTATAGAAATTTCGGTATCGATATATACATATACCGTATATACCATAACTCATTCACAGTTCAGGCTACACGCCTTTGGAACTCCTTGCCCGATGACATCAGAAAAGCACCCAATAAGTACGCTTTTAAAAACGTGAACATCTATTAAAGTCAACGCATTTTACATGACTCATCTATTTAATATGTATCGCTAAACAGACGTATATATTCATAGTCATTTGTACGTACTAATTATGTATGTATTTAAATATATTTGTATGTATATGAATGTATTTATATATTTGTATATATGTATGGATAGGTCATATATATATAGAGTTTATTTATTAGTTGTATGTATATATTATGTAGTTAATTATCATTTGTTTTGTGTTCCTTTATTCTATATTGCCACACCTACGTCAAATTCTCACCACTCCATGAGTTGACTGGTAGAGAATGCCGCAAGGTATAAAGTACCGCCCTTTGTATTCTTTTATTATAAGGATTTTTATCTCATCAATTGAAGTAAGTGCTCTAATTATTCCTATGACATAATATATATCTTCTTCCCTTACTGTTGTTATTTGATTTTGTTATTTAATTTTGGTATTTATATTCTTATAGGCATATTATTTACGAACCTTTAGTTGATGTTTTTTATTTAATAGGTCTCATGTAAAAGCATTTAATGACTCTTATTTAAAGGAAAAGAAATAAGCTTAAGGGGAAATATAATGTCAAATGGCTTATCAAGATCCTTCGTTATGCCGAAAATATTGCAGCATTAATTTTGAAATAAATATATGGTAAAGTTGAGGATTAATGTTAATGATTATGTTAGACGAAAACACGATTTCGTACAAAATCCCACTCTATACTAACACTGCACGAGGGCAAACAGAGCGATAAAAGCATATCGAACCCCACCACGCTAGTCGTAAACTTCTACAACATCGGGGGACTTCATTCGAAGCTTAACGCCGTCCACTACTATCTGGAAACGGTGAAGCCGGCCTTGCTCTTTTTGATCGAGACTCAGGTGTCCTTTCCGGCTGATACTTCGTACCTGACCTACTTAGGGTACAGATTAGAAAATACCTTCCTTATTGGACCTTCTGCTGACCTCTCATCCTGACGTATATCAGGTTTCCGTCGACGCCCCTCTCGGCTCCTTGGATCATTGTCTGATCCAGAGTGTGGTGTCATTTACGTTCACTTCGCGCTTACGTTCTGCACGTTGCCGCCGTGTTTGGCGGGTTATGTCAGCGGATTGGGATGGAATGCGATCTTCTTTTACATCCTACCCATAGGGGCAGGTTTGATTCTCGCCAGACAATCCCAGCGCTGTTGCTGAATTTGTTAGTGATGTGGTGCTACTGGGAATGAAACTGTTTATTCCATCATCTATGGTACCCATCGGAGGCAGATCTCAACCTTGGTTTATTCGCTCCTGTAAGAATGCATTATGCAGTAAGCAGGAGAGTTATCAGGCCAGGGCTGACGCTTCGGCGGCTCGGGATGTAAACACTAGCAAGCTTAAAAATAACTATAATTTCGCCTCTAGGCTAGGTTAAAAGAGTTATTGTCAAGGCAAAGTATGAGCATGTTGGCAGAATTGGCAAGAAATTAGTTCGCCTTCTTTCGGGTACCTGCACAATTTGTTCTCTCGCCAAGGCTGACCAAATGAATTTCTGTAAGCCATCACTACCATCTCTGAACAGGGAGGCCCACGCTGCAAAAGAGAAAGCCGATCCTTTAGGTTCTCTTTTTACACCCAATTCGGATCACAGTGATGGGGAGAACACATCGCCGACAATCCCGCGGTGTGACTGCTTTATGCCTGATGTGTAATTGACACAGTGCTCAGTACGTAAAGCACTTCTCTTTCTGGATACCCACAAATCGACGGAATCCCCAATTATGCAGAGGATGTGTGCTCCAGAGTTGGCACTGGTTCTAACGCGTCTTTTTCGGTACTCCTACTCCCTAGGCGTAACCTCGAAATCATTTTATTTTGTAGTCCTGCTGAAACGCGCCTTGTACGAGTAAAGTTGCAGGTGGTGTGTCGGCATAAAATACTGTCCCGCTCTGCTGAGCACGCCAAGCTTTTTAGAAGACAGTTTCGCTTTCTCTTCCAAGTGACCACGAAACTCACTTGAAAGAGAATGCGAAACTGTCATTTGATATGTTGACGCCGAGGATTCCAATACTGTCTGAGGCAATAAGGGGAGTGCCCTGAAACTGAGGAGATACGACAAAGGGGTTCTTTTTAGCAGTAAACTCGCAAACTTTTGTTTTCTGGGGATTAAATTGGAATAGATTTAGTCGCCCACAATCCGAGACTTTGTTCAACAATGTCTAGACCGCAGACAAAAGTTCTGATCACAGCTTTAACGACTGATGAGGATGGTTTTTATATCATATTTATGATTACATAACATTAATTTTGCGTCTATTTGACGTCCTGATGCCAAAGTTTTCCCGGGCTAACTTATACCCGGTATTTAAGAAATCATCATATTTATGATCTTTAAATGTGGTAAGTATATTTTAGTGAAAAGATTTTTCAGTTTGCATCATTATTTATTTAATTATAATATTATATTACTGAACGTCCGGCTTACGTGTTCTTAGTGAAATAGGATAGCACGTTAACAGCACCTGAATACGGGTGCCTTGGTGAGTTCCTTTACACTACTTCCAATACAGTACCTACCATTTCGTCACCGATTTAATGAGGATTACGGAACGCGACACGCGTCCTCCGCCTATTCACTATAAACTCTGCTAAATTTTTGGTTTACAAAGAGTAAAGGCGATGGTGACTCACGAGTGGGGAGGGTTTAAAAGGTGTCAATTAAAATAGAAATGAAAAGATTTATCAGAAAGATTTCGATTTTATTTAATTTTAGTAGAAAGGCGAGTAGAATCTTACCAAACCGAGGAGTACTAATTACTAAAAGCAACTGTTTACATGTTTCCTCTAATGTACTCACTCTCTTAATGGTCTCTCCTCGTCGTGTTGTGGCGGCGAAATCAACTATCCTACATCATCTAGTAACCTCCTGAAAACAACTGATAATAATAAAAGGTTTTAAAAAAATATTTACCACGTTTTTTTTCTTATTCCTTTGTCATCCCATTCTGAGCTTTGTTCAAAATTTCTCATTGGGAAGTGTTCGCAGGATTTGCAAGATTCCACTCGGAACGAAAAACAGACGTGGTAAAACGTGGTAAAAATGGCGGTTGCGAACGCGCCTGCAAAGCGTGGCAACTGCTATACATCCCTATGAGGCAATTTATGGGGGAGGTGTATGTTCATCAAAGGATTTTTATAGGCTATAATAAAATTGACTAATGAACGCGTTCCCCTAAAGAATAAGATAATGTAAACCAGGTACAAGTCTTTTCAAAATGCACGAACTAAAAAGAATTTAGGTACTTGATTTACACACACTCGCGGCATCCTCACGTTGCTCGCTTCCCATCAGCAGTTGCTGGAATTTTGATTTAGTCTTTTCGGGTGGACTTTCCGCCTTAAGTGTATAAGTCAAAGTGAGGTTGATATTTGAGGGAAAGTTGGAATATTCCCCCTAAACGCGTATCATGTAATTAAAAAAAAACATGTTATATCCTTAGTCAATGGACGAGCGTAGCTTAATGCCATACTTATTCATGATTGTGACTTCTGACACTTCATACATACAAGAGTTACATGGGTTTCGGAAATGTATTCCTATTTTGTGGGTTTTTTTTACTGAAGTACCGAGTGACGGACTGACAAGAGATTAAGGATTCTTTTTATTATTCTACTAAGCGCTAGGCATAATCAAATGACACGCTAAAATGGGAGTTATTATACTTTAGTCATATCATATTTTACCTGTTCTGAAATAAATGTAGATACTAATAAGTTGACGACAACCACGCTTTTCACATGCAGGAACGTTTTCTAATCGTACATCGTCCATAAACTTTGTCGTGAAGCGACAATTAAAAACTAAATAACCTAACCTAACTACAACAAAACAACCAAAAATAAAATAAATTATTTAAAAATTTGAAAAGATTTACAATTTCTTTTATAAAAAAAAGGTATGAAGGTGATGATGGGCTGTAATGATGATAGTGATTTACAATATTATTAAAAAAAAAATAAAAATAAAGATACTGCAACGAAGTATGAACAGGCTATGCCTATGTTAGGTGCGCAGCGCCTGCTCTAGGTACACGCAGAATCTGGAGAAAGCACATGCAGCGTCTGGAGAAGGTACACGCAGCGCTTGGAGTAGGCACACGCAACGCCCGGAGCAGAT